CGTGTCCCTCCTTGGAGAGACATTGGCAGGGCAGCTGCAGGGCTGGGCTTGTCCTTGCAGGTGCGGGAGCTGGAAGGGGAGGTTGATGCTGAGCAGAAGCGCAGCGCTGAAGCCGTGAAGGGCGTGCGCAAGTACGAGCGCAGGGTGAAGGAACTCACCTACCAGGTAAGGCAGGAGCTCTCCTGCTCTCACTGGGCTTTCTCACAGTGAGTCACATTTTGCATACACCATCCCAAGGGGAATGGTTAAACTCACGAGTTGCAGAACCAAGAATTTACTCTCCTTTTCATTCGCCAAACATTTTAGTCTGAGGAAGACAGGAAGAATATTCTGAGGCTGCAGGATCTGGTGGACAAGCTGCAAATGAAAGTGAAATCTTACAAGAGACAAGCTGAGGAGGCTGTAAGTATTGCTTGGAGAGTGGAATGGGAATAATTCCATTAGGGCAGGACACACATTGAATGAAGCTGAATACCAGGAGGAAGGGTATTAAAGAAAGTCCCAAGACACAACTGTTTTGGCCATGCTGCTTTGCTATCCTGTCAGGAGGCCTTGGTGAGCTCTGGGCAGCCTGTAGTCAGGGACATTCATTAAGGGGAGATCTGCAGCCTGTTTCACACAGGAGGCCAGAGTAAACAAACCAGGGGCCACACCCAGTGACTGACAAGTTCCTGAATCTCTGCTACTAATCAGCAGCAGAAGGCTTCCTGGTCTTCCCAGCCCAGTAGGTTGCGCTGACAATTGGGCAGGAAGTAGTGTGAGAATAAGTACAGAAATGATAAATCAAAGGGGTCAAATTTATTCTCACGTGTGACACAGTCCTGGTGAAGCTTGTCCCAGTAGGGTCCTGAGAAGGGGAGGATGAGGAGCTCTGTGTGAGGCTGATGTGTGAGCAGAAGTGGGAGGGGAATGGAGATTTGCAGCCCCACAAGGCTGACTTGCAACAGGAGTGAAACCCCTGCTCTGTGCTCCTGAGCCCTGATTCGCTCTGCTCTCACAGGAGGAGCTGTCCAATGTGAACCTGTCCAAGTTCCGCAAGATCCAGCACGAGCTGGAGGAGGCTGAGGAGCGGGCTGACATTGCAGAGTCACAGGTCAACAAGCTCCGAGCCAAGAGCCGTGAGATTCATGGCAAGAAAATAGGAGAGGAAGAGTGAAAATTGCAGGAGGCCGCAAAGTGACCTGAGGGCTGCACAAAATGTGAGCCCTCTGTCCTTCTTCAAGTGTTCATAACCATGTCTATATGTAGAGAATAAAGAATGTAGATGTAGTCGCATACACAACGGTATCCGTGATTTTGGTCAATTCAGTTCTGCAGTTACACAACTTTGGGGCATTTTCAAATGAAATATTTATTTCACTTTAAGCCTTGCATAACAGTACAGCTTTACTTATCCCATCTCCAGTATTCCTCCACTCTGTCTTACTCGCATTACCAAGATGGGAATAAGACTAATTTAATTTCCATTCTGGGAGAGGATCAGGACAAAGGCAGGACAAGCACCTTTTCTGTCCTAGCATAGAAAAAATTGTTTTTCCTTTTTGCATTTTGTTTCTGTATGGGTACAGTAGTCAGAGGTTCTCATTGATGGTCCCATTATCACTTGGGCAAATGGTATTGAGAGGGAAGTTTCCCCAAGGGAAAACATCTGTAGTCCCAAAAGCATCTGTATGTCTCCAAGTCCTTATGGAGGAACTTAGGCAAAGACTGATGTGTGCCTTAGAAGAAGGCAAGTGAAGGCCAGTAACTCTAGAGAGTGGTTGTTATTGAAGAAATTTAAAGATCATACAGCCTTATTAATAACTTCACAAATATGGTGTTAACAATAAATTTCAAAGAAAAACAAATAATGTATTATTTGGATTAGAGGATATTGCAGTGCCTTACTTCCTCTGTGAGGCAGAATAGCCAATACTAATATGTTCCAGTTGTAAATTAAATTGAACTTAATGAACAGCTTGGTAGAAGTGTGAATAAGAAGACAAACCCCAAGCAGTGTAACATGTAGAGCCACCAGAACAAGTGGGAACAGCTGCACTACTGTATAGTATTTCCAGTACTAAAATGTATGAGTTTTTGTGCTAAGGAATAATTAAGAGTAATGTACAAATACAAAAAGCTAAAAGAGCTGTTTTTCATCATGCACTGTAAGTCTTCAAGTGAAAATAATACTGAGAGCATTACAACTTGAAAGGAATCATAAAGTCTAACACTTTACAGAGACAAAAATTCATAGATGATGACAAACTGTGTCCTACCTGTCTGACTTGCAGCACTGGAGTGGAATGTTGATACCAACTGTATTTCAGCTGAACAGAAAAGAAACAAAACATCTACATAAGGTATACTGGTCTGAAGTCTTAAATGATGGGCTGTTTCCTGCAAGGCAAGAGGCAATATTTAAAATAGAAAAAAATAGAAAAAACCCCACCTTGTAGCACTACTGGACCCAGGCACACTGTACAGCTGCCAAGGACAGATTCCACATGGAGATACCATTCTCCATTTACCATTGTAAAGGAGACTTGGTTCCATCACACTACAAGAGCATTTGTGGGTCCCTCAAGGTTCCTAGCTAGCTGTACACCTCTTTATTTATGGAGAGTGTTTCAAGGAGCTGTGAAACTGTTAGGGAGAGGAGCTGAAGATGTTGGAAAGGAGATGATGAGAAAAGAGCAGTATTGAAGCCTTTTGCCCTGCACTACAGCAGTCAGTGTTCTGGACAGGGAGGACCTCCTCCTCCCAAATACACTGAGATTTACACCCATAGAATCCTCCCATTTTATAACTAAATATGGAAGTAGTCTTCTAGGCAGCAGTTAAAAATATTTAAGGAAAAGATGACACTCTGTGTTGACTCTTGTGTCACTGTAAATGATGCACTTCAGAGACATCATCTCTATGTGTGAAGCTGTGAAAACTTCATCAGTGCCAGTGATATCTGGGCAACAAAGAAGGGAAATGACTCCTCTCCTTTTCCCTTCAAACAATATGCTCCTAAGACTTAGGTGGTATCTTTTTTCCAGACAAATCCTTACCTGCCACACCTTGAAAGAAAGCAGTAGAATTTCTTTGTTCTAAAGAACATCTTTCTTTAAACAAACAAACAAACAAACAAATAAACCCCAAAAACTTAATTCAAAAATCAGTGTGTTACAACTGTGGCTCAGTGAAAACATGGACAAGTATTTCCAGCTCCATCTGTACCTCTTTAGAGCTGCTGACAGAGCAGTAAATACCACAACTTTGGGGAGGTATTTCAATGCCCAAAATCCCTGTTCCCTTTGGACAATATTACAAGCATCCTCCAAAATGAACAAGCTGCTCTGACTGTGGAAGAATCAGGATGCATTTGAAGCACCTCAGACTCTTCGGCCTCTTCTCTCTCTCACCTGTAAGAAATTCTGGCCTGAGGATTTGTTACTAATGCTCAGCTGATGAAAGGTAACATTGCAGGTTCCTTAAGAGACAGCACCTGTGGCCAGAATTCCAACTGCACAGGTGGGAGAGGGAGAGAAATCACACACATTGCCCTGTGCTGAGCTGGCCTTGCCACCAGCCAGCCTGGAAAGCAGGGCTGGAGTCTTGCTGGAATCAGACTGGAATATTAAAGGGATGAGAAAGGCTAACCAATTTCTCTTCAGTTTTGATTTGCTGCCTTGGCTGGAGGACAAGGAGTCATTTTGCATCAACACACTATTTCTGGAGTCAGGCTGCGTGTGATAGAAAATGTGCTGGTGCACAGGTAACTGATCTAGGAAGAAACATGGGCCCATAAGTGGCCTGAAGAAACATGGGCCCATAAGTGGCCTAAAGAAACAAGTCTCAGAGGAGTTTTAAAATAGATGCAACTGATGAGCTCCACCAGAGCTGCTGCCCCATGGGGACTATGGAGTTCTCTGACCTTCAACAGCTTGGGCATGGACAACTGTGTCCCCTGTGCACCAAAGCATCAGCACTTTAAGAGGCACTAAGACATTATATGTGAGTTATACCTCATCATCCTTCCCTTTTCCTTTCTCAGCACAAGCTGGATTTTTTTTTCTTTCTAATACTGAACTTTGAACACTGATTTCTCTCATTTCTGCTTCACTTTCCAACATCTCTGACATTTCCAGGCACTAATCTTCCTCCCAATGGCTTATCAGTCCTTCCACCCTGCTCATCTTCTCTGTAACTGAAGCTCCAGTGTGTGGGGAAAAAAGTATCCCCTACATCACTCTGATATTATTTAGAGCACTGCTCAGATGTCATCTTCTCATGTTTGCTGGTAGAAGGAGAATGATTAGCTAACTGTGATGCAATTTCAAGAACTGTTTATCCTGACATTCCAGGTCACAGCTTTTACCTTCCTCTGCTCAGTGAAATGACACCTTCCTCTTAACAGCAGATAATCTGCCACTGCAGTTTTTCAGGAAGCCACTTGGAGTCCCCACTGAAAAAGGATGCCATCACCTTTACAAACATGTAAATCACAACAGTCCATACCACGAAAAGTAACACTTTGATTTCCATGTGCAAGATCACAAGCATAGCAACCAGTAAGACTAGAGGAAAAGAACTTGAAGAGTGAAAAGACATCAATTCATACAAATTAACAAACAGAAAAAAACAGCCTCAATCCCCTCTCCCCCCTCTAAAAAATCCCCACCTAAACAGCTGCTTCTGCCCCCAAATTCCACCAGCAGCATTACCAAGGGCTTTGTGCTCTACTACCCTGGATTTTAGCTCTCATCTCTCAAAGCCCATACAGTGAACATCCTGAACTGCTTTTCATCCCAAAGGATGTGTTCAAGTCTGTCATTATTATGAAAATTGACAACTTTCTTCAAGGTCAGTTCATGTGTCTTACTATTTTATTTTTTTTCATTCCCTGCACCAGTATGGATTAGGGATGCCTAATAGATCTCCAAACCATGTTTCTTTGCTGGGCAGCTCATCGCACCAGCCACAGTATGACACACAAACAGCCTGAAAGAAATACACTTTACTTTAGTCTGATCTGATTCTTACTGGTTTTTATATACAAAGTATGTCCTTACCATTGCAATGGTCCAGTGCTCAGCTAGGTCTTAGCAGAAGAGTAGGGATGAGAAGTTTTGCTCCAGCAGATCAGAGCATCAGTATTTGTTTTCAGCATGTGCTAATGCTCCTGGGAGCTCTCGTTTTACCCAGAGGCAGCAGAAATGCTGCTGCAGTAGTGTGAATATTCCCTGCCAGACAGTTAATCAGGGTCCACAGGGTGCACTGATGCTTCCAGCATGCCCTGTTCATATGACAGCGTGGCTGACTACAGCACTGGCAAGCTGCAGATCCCATGGGGAAGGTTTTGAATAGAATATCTGGTTTATCAGATAATTTGAAGGAGTATAAAGCTGAAATGGAAATAGCGGTAGGTTTGTCTGTGTTACCTGTGAGGTTTTTAGAAAGCTCAGGAAAAAAAAATGGAGAAGTCGGTGAATTTCTGGGAAAGAAGTCCCTCAAGGACCATGAGGCTCCTGCAGGTCCTTCTCACAATGTGGGGGCTGTGGGGAGCAAGGTGGGGGGAACATTCTTCATCTTCCTTCAGGGCACATCCACACTAAACACCTTAATGCTTCCACCACATATCCCCTCACTTACACATGGATGGTTCTCCTCTAGCAAGACAAAGATCTACTCACCATCAAAACAGAACATGACTGCTCACCAATCCCCAAAACGTTCAAGATTAATCACATTCTACTTTGAGGGGTTACCTCGGGACTGGGAATTATATTTAGGTAGTCCAAGGCTCAGGCACATGTAGTGAAAGCCCTCTATCAAAAATGTATGTAAAGTGTCATGATAACAAAGGCAGTTCCTTTTCATTGCCTGCCTGTAAGCAAAAAGCTGAAGTTCATCTATATCCCCTATTCTATCTGAAGGCCATTCTGGTTCAAATTTACAACAGACTGACTAAATGATCCAGAATGGTGAGGAATTTTCAGTGAGGCTGGGGAAGGTTCTCCCACAAGTCGTGCCAGCCCTGAATGCCTCTGTGAATCATGAGATTCCAGTGTTCTGCCCACTGAAATTTCATTCTCGAGTGGCTGCCATGGAGTGCTCCTGTGGCCATTGCAGGGACCAGACCATAGTTCAACATTTGGTGGGATCAAGTCACAAGCTGGGGAGAAATTCTCTTCTACTGGGACCATACCTGCTCAGTTCCCCTTCAGGAGGGATTTCCAGGCC